GATGGTGTTTGTACTTGCATGGCCTTCAGTTGCCTCAGTTGCCTATGGCAAATGGTCAACTCAGGCTGATAAATTGACTACAGTATTTGCTCATGCATGTATGTAGACAAGTTGCGTGGCCTTGTTGTTTAATTGTTATTTAATGGTATTATTAATATTAATGGTATAACTGTCTTGGTTTAATAATCCATATCTTAATTGGATTTTCAAGATGCATATTTTCACAATAATATGTTTTATTTTATATTTAACTCTAAGTTATAGAGTATAGGTCAGTGAGTATGTCTTATCTTTATATAATTTGGTAATAGATAGCAATCTCATATCTATATTTATCAACATCCTTTTATTTTACCAGACTGGTGATCATTATGTTTGGCCTGAATTTGAGAAAGAACTTTATTCAGTAAGAGCAATTGCTGTAATATGTTTGATATTTACTGTACCTATTGTATATTAATCAACTATATATATACCACAAGATCGATGTTTAGTTATTCTCACAACCTTATTGGCCCCACCTATATTTACTTCTCCTTCCACTAGCTCCGCCTTCAGCCAGAAATAGTGGCAAAAATAATACTCCAGTACTTAACAAAGTGTTAATTCAGGAAGGGATTGCTTTTTTATTTATTTCCAGAGTAGCGAGTGAAAAGTAGAGAAAATACTGAGTATACTCGCGTTTCCTTCAGCACCACTGCGGGTTAAAATGAAGAAATGCTGTTGCACTTCAAAGTAGTTAAAGTTAAAGCTCTACAAGATTTAAGGTCATTTACTGCTTGGTCCAGCAGTGGTGCTGAAGGAAACACGAGTATACTCAGTATTTTCACTACTTTTCACTCACTACTCTGGAAATGAATAAAAAAGCAATCCCTTCCTGAATTAACACTTTGTTAAGTGACAATGCGCCCTGATGCGCCTTTAATATTTTAATACTGTCATGTGTCTAATGCCAGATGATTTTACTCGTCAAGAGGAGAAAGCTGCCAGTGTTTGACATAGCTACAGTAGGTGATCTGCCGAAGATACTTTAAGGCCCTGTCACACTATTGGCTGTTGCGTATGAGTGAAACGTATGAGAAGCGTATGAAAATTAATTGAATAATTTCCACACGCACAAAAATCCTTTGAAATGCCAGCGTATGAGTACCGTACATCTGGCGTACCTCTAGCGTATTCATCGTATAAACCATACGTCCGATACGCACAAAATTTTTGAACATGCTTAAAAAAAATTTTCTGCCTCGGCGTATGCCAGCGTATGCCACCGTGCTTGAAACGTATACAATGTATGCCTAACGCGTATGTCAACGTATACCGGCGTATGAGTGATATTTTTCATACGCTGGCATACGCTAGTATAGGATACGCCAACCTACGCAGTTAGTTTATACGTCTGCTACGCAAGCTAGCTAAAATGCAAGACTAAAGTCTTGCATTTTAGCTAGCTTGCATAGCAGACGTATAAACTAACTGATGTGTGAAACCATCGTAATGTCAGAGCCGTTGGCGTTGAAGAAAGCGACATGAACATGAGTCTCTGAGTCAATGACAATGACATTGGGGCGTGGCGGAGGTGAGACCCTGTGAAACAGGTTGACATTATCCAACTGGCCGTCATCTTTCCACAATAATGTTGGGTGGCCAATTAGTGTAATTAGATACGGTGAGAAGGTGAGGCAGTTAGTTGATAAACCGAAAAACGATGTTTTTGAAAACCGATGTTTTTAATTAAAAACCGATGTGTTGCTTTCGAACAAAAAGTCAAAAACTGGAAAAATAAAAAAACAGTGTATGGGACCACACATGTAACGCTGTCTATTAAATAAATATTTTATTAGTTGGGATTTTACATTGCAATGCCTTTACATGTGTAAAGGGCCATTTCCATTCAGGAAAATGTTTCTCAGAAAGAAAATTTTGTAAAATGTGATTGGCCGACACAAATTTTCCGTCGGAAAAATATTTTATTTTTATCAACTATTAAAGGCCCATTTCCGCTCAAGAAAAATTTCCACGGACAGAAAATGTTCCGAAAATACTCATTGTTAAAAGTTGAAAATTTTCAAAAAATTTTTCACACGGAAAATTTGTGTCGGCTAATCACGTTTTACAACATTTTCTTTCTGCGAAACATTTCCTGAGTGGAAATGGGCTTTAACAGTGCCTCAGGATTGGAAGAAGTTTGATTTAAGCTTATAAGGTGATTCATCAGTTTTGCATTGCGCACTTTTTACTGCGCATATCTAATAAAAAATTCTAGCTGCCGGATACAATATATATGTGTAATTATACGTAGTGGAATGCAATTGCAATGAAAAGTGATAAAGAAAGAGTAACAGCAAAGAGAAAAACATTCTGCATTGATTATAGGCGTGTTTCAGGAAATATACCTTCAAAAATGACAGAATCTGGCTAGGGCTCTGTGCAACTAACACTAAACCACATCATAATGCATGTTTTACCCTTGTATCTCTTTTAAGAAGGTCCGTGACCCTACTTTTAAATTTTATATTTTTGTTCCTCTATACGTTTACATGCATGTCATACCAGAAAATGAGAGAAAAATCATTTCTACTACTTATAATATTTAACATTTTTCGCGCATGCTTCCCAAAATAACATGTCTGAGAAGATGGGAAAAGACATCTTTGCAGCACGACAATGCACGTCAATGTTTTTTGATTCGCTAATTAAAAATACAATGCTTTCTTGTATATAATCACTAGATTTTAGTAGGAGCCTTGTTAAACTAGAAATTACTATCGCAAGGAAAGTGCTGACTCCCCCCCCCCGCCCGCCTTCCATCACATAAGCACATAAAGCACCCCTTACACATCTGTTCAGGAGTTAGGAAAAGTGCAATTTTAATATGAAAACACTTTGCACAAAATCAAAGCTCAGCTAAATATTCTAATTGTATTGACTTCCGCAAATTCCTTACTCTTCAAAAAATTACTTCCTTGAAAATTCCTTCGTTCTAAACAAAGATGAAGGACTTTGCGAAAGTCTACAGGTCATGCTATGCAAGTTTTTAATGATTTGCATTGTTCAAATAGATGCAGGTTTATTAGCATATCATGACCAGTTGTCATGGCTAGCTTGCCACTGAATACTGTACAATATCATATATAACAAATGATAATAATACTTGAATGAATCATTGGATATGTAGAATTTAATAACAATTTCATACATACAAATACTACCAGTAAGTCAGTTTTTGTCCCAATTATCATTTTAATGGCACCTTCAAGGCCACCCCTACTGCAGAACAACTGAACAATCAGCCAATGGGGAGACAAAATCTATTTTGTTGACATTTTTGTTTAATACGTCAGCTTCGTATGACACCATTCATTGTATAAATGAAGATGACTAAGATTGTACTCAGTCAGAACTGCAAAACTATATAATAAGAAAGAAATTGTGAGCATTATCAAAAACAAGTCACTCAGATAATTTTTCATTTGCATACAATTGTGTCTTCCAATTCGGACATCATACTGCTCACTTGACCTTATGCATAATGATGTCACAAGGCTTGATGCCCGCAAGGAATGCTGGTCATCCCCCGGGAGAATTAAACAATTCGGGATGGCCACTATTGAAATTTTCCTGGACTGTGATGACTACTAAGACCAGCATTCCTCGCAGGCACCAAGCCTTGAGACGTCATTATGCATAAGGTCTATGCCTCGCATAAAAGAAACAGTAGGTTAAGAACCAGTGAACCACTAGCCTGAAGTTTGGGCAATTAAGCACCCAAAATACAAGTTTTAAAATTTTTTTACAGTTTAGATATATGCAACAGGAACCATATATTTAGTATCATAGCAATAGTTTTATGCAACAACAGTCCCTATTTAATGTGTAGAATATAAAAAAAGTATAGTGTGAACTGAAGATTATATATAAAGATTAAAGAACCACTTCAGCCTGATGTCAAAATTCACTGGTTCTTTTATGCAGGGCTTTACTGCAATGTATCATATTCCCATAATAACAATATTAATAATCATTTTAGTGTAATATACAACTATTTTTATTGGCAATTTTCTAATTGACATACAACCTATATATTTGTAAAATTTGATATACAGTACCTTGTTGGCTTGATCTTTTGACATTCTCAGTATACAACTTTATTATTGCCAACGCATGCCGGGCCCACCTAGCGAGATCACACTTCGCTAGTATAAGGTATAAAGTATAAAATATAGCGAGTTCACACATCCCTGGCAAGTTTGGTACAGGTACATCGAGTTCACAATTCACTGCTTTTTGAAAAACATAATATGAACGACCCCTTTTGATTTGATTTGACCAAATGATCGCCATGAACACACACCAAATTATATACACCTAGAGGAGATAGAATTCGAGTTTTTATATAAATATATTAAAAACAAACTATCACGTTCATTGTATTCAAACGTTCAAATAACTATTTTTATCAACATACCTTCAAAAATATAACTCTTTTCCTCCAAAATCAAATAGTAATATTGTAAAATAAGCCTCGTGCATTCATACCACAGTGGAAAAATATGCCAAATGGTCATGTCAAAATTAAATGTCATAGCTCCTATGAAACTACGGCACACCAAACACAGCTTTCGGACGTGATCGGATTGACATCGTTCACTTCCTGCGTATATAATTTTTACACGTCATTCTGTGACGTCAGAAAATGCGACCCGAATGACCGAACGACAAACAAATTGAGATTTGCTTTGGCTAAAATACATAGGTCGCGCGGGGATCTGGCACGAGTAAAAACTGTAAACGTCGTCAAGAATAGGTGGCTGCCTTCGCTTCGCTCGGCAGCAAAAATTCAATAACGGTTGAGCAATTACGATTGTTCCTGTAACTACTGTAAAAGGGTGATGATGGGGGAAAAGGTGGCATATTGTACTTGTGATATTTAATATTTATTTATTAAACTTCGCCACTTACAACAAACAAGTGGCAGGGTCACCACAACAGTATAGACCAATTACTGTGGGCCATTTAAAAATTGCTAAATTTTAAGGAAATCACACAAAACAACATATGGTATTATCACAATACAAAACTACATCGCATAGTACAATATTGAATATTATGCAATGCAATGCAATGCAATGCAATGCAATGCAATGCAATGCAATCACGGCAATGCAACGCAACACAACGCAACGCAACGCAATGCAATACATAGCAGGAACAAGATTCAACTTCCACCGCCACTACCGCCACCAACAATATTATTGTTTACCGAGCTAACCAATTACATGCACATCAGGTCAGCGAGAGGTAGCGGTAGTGGCGGCGAAAGCCAAATTCCAAACTCGCTAAAAACAACAAGAGATTGGACTAGCCAGACTTCGATCCTTGTTGCACTTTAGGCAGATAGATTTCCATGTCCGTGAATTATCATGATCATAGACCAAATTTAAAGCAGTACGGTAATAATCGAGTAATAATGATTTGTATTTGACTAAGCTTAAAGATTAATATATGTCTCAGTACGTCAGGCAGACTGTTCCATATCCTGGTCGATCTGTTGATGAACGAGCCTTGAAATGTCGCCGTTCTGCATTTCGTCTCACGGAGTAGGATGCTTTCTGGGTTGCTCGTGGCTCTTGTTCTTCTTGCGTTCCCAACGTTCTTTTCTGGAATAATGTCATCGCTAACATGCACCAAACCGTTCATCATGATCTTGAATAAGAACACTGGGTCTAAATATTCGTACCAGAAACTAAGCGGTAATAACTAGCTTGCTTGCTTTAAGCAGATTCTTGTAGTTGGTCTGATCCTGATATCAGTCGAAACGAGTTCGGTGATCTTAACTTTTTTTCTGTTTTTACTATGAGCATATCATAAACTTCACCCCTGGGAAGTTTCAGCAAATTCCCATTTCCAGAACAATTACTGATGAATTACCTTATAATTTCAAGGAACAAGCAGATTGAACAAGAGAGACTTTTGTTGTTTGAGTAGCGTCTTGCATGCTTTCAAGTGTCGTTTTAATTGTGTATTTTTTTCACAACCGATCACACTCCGGGTTTTTTATATATGTATATATATATAAATATATATATATATATATGTATATATATATATATATATATATATATATATATATATATATATATATATATATATATATATATATATATATATATATATATATATATATAGTATGTAATTCCTAGGCTTTCTTTAAGGCTATTTTATAAGGTTACAAATGAGCGACTGAGTTCATACTGACAGACACCGTGCAATAAATTATATCTCATGTTTTACTTGGCAGATTTGTCCGCAAAGAAGATGTACTCTTCAAACGAATGGACAGACCAAGGTAGTCGAATGTTGACGCACAGTATATACTAGTTCTATTAATAATTCTTATAATAATAATAATAATAATAATAATAATAATAATAATAATAATAATAATAATAATAATAATAATAATAATAATAATAATAATAATAATAATTTATTTGCACACATGCAATTACATAGGGGGAAAAAATACAAGAAAGATAGGAAAGTTTACTGGGAAATAATGTGCAAAATCACCTATAATAACCATAAAGGGCTAATCTAGATATGTGATCTGCTAAACAACAACGTATATAACTTAAGTGCACGCATAATGAGGAAGGTAGAAGAGAAAATATTCTCAAAGTCGCCATAAAATTATCATTTTAATATGATGCAATCAAAAATAATTGAAGTCGCTTTTTAATGCCTAAACAACATGTATTTTGTTGTTTTGAATTCCACATTTTGTGGTCTTTTCATGCATGCAAATGGTTGTAGAAGTTGATTTTAAATTTTCATGTCTTCCAGAATATGTCAGAGAACCACTTGATGCGTAAACAACTGACTCAAAATAGTCGAAAGAAGTTTGTATTTTGTTTGTTTTGTCATTGCTATTTACTGTTCAAAAGGAGGCACAGTTCACCCCTTCCGTTCTATTGGCGTTGTAGGGCCGTTGTATGCAATAAGTATCGCGTTGTAAGGGGTCTGCAATTACGATAGCCCTAATCCAAACGCTAATCCTAACCCCAATCCTGACCCCTAAACCCCAAAGCTTCAAACTACATATCGTCTGCGGAGGGGAGTGTCCCACACTGGGGTACATCCCCCCCCCCCCCCCGAAAGATGTTTTAAGAACTTCAGTATCGTGTTGTACGTCTTGCACGGAATCTACTCGGTGGAAGAAAGAAAATTTATATCCTTTTAGTCTTATACTTAATTTCATATAAAGTTTCATGGGTGCACTACAATCAACCTACAGTAGCTACTCATGCAACAATGTCAAGATATTACCGTACTTTGGTCACCACTACTGTGCTCAGCCAATGCTCTTTTACTGGCAGAAAATGATTGACATTTCCTTCTCATTCCAGAAAAGATAAAAGAGTTAAACAAGACAACAGTTCATCAGATTCTGCGGATTGTAAGCCAGATGAGAAAGTGAAAAAATCCAAACAAAACAGACGAGTGGTGCATATAAAGGATAGTACACCAACATTTAGCAATAATAACAATAATACCCCAGTTGCAACGCAAGTTGTTGAGGTGAGTGTGTTATGGAGTATATATAGACGCACATGCAGGCGGAAAAAAATACGAACACGTTTCGTATACAGACGCGTGGAAATAAAGTCAATTTAAAACTATATTTTAAAAAAATAGAGAGGTATTTACAAGTGTTTCTGGGATTTCGTTCTTTAAGATACAATATATGTGCATCTTTAATTGAAAAAATTCAATCTGTCATCCAGTTTTGAGTTTGTATGAAAATTCGCCCTGTTCCACTCGTTCATACGGGAATTGAAACGGTCAGTTGTGCTTATTATTCGTTCCATTTCATGCGTCCAGTGTGAACTCGGGGAAATCAATTGCGGAAATTTCGGGAAGATGGGGCGGGCACTTGCTGCCAACAGAGAAAATAGTTTTCCATTATACCAAGAAAGTCGGTTTAATTATTGTTTCTTTAAATATTTTATAGACGGAGACCTCTGTCCGAAGACAGTTGGAATTTGATAGATTGAAAGTAAATGGGTTATCCTTGGATGACGTCAGTAGGAACAAAAAGCGCAATTGCGGTAAATTAAACATAACAAGACGCTCTACGCGTTAACTCGCTGGGGCTATACAACTACGCACATTACTGTACAATGTACATGATACATACAGTACACAGCTCTTTCAATTGAGATTTAAGGTTTTCCCCAAGCTAAGCGGAAAAGTCGAATACGAGCGCGAAAGGCTTAATAACACAGTGACTAAAATGCGGTAGGCCCTACAAGTAAAGTTATATTTAGTACGCTACATTCTTCTTCAAAACTGTCAGCCGCCAGTTGGTCTAGGATTTATACTGCGCTTTAAAACGTTCAAAATAAAATATTTTGGGGCTTTTGGGCTCAAAATACTATCAAAATGAAGCGAGAAGTGAGACGAATCCACTGGTATACGACCGAAAAAGAGAAAACCAATGATACCAAAGTTATCAAGGGTCAAACGTACAGGGTACTGCATTTTTTATAATTAGTTTAATAATTTTGAGCGATTGGCAACAATACAATTTCGCTTGGCTTTCAAAGACAAAGGCCCTAAATCGCTAGAACACTGTTGTTTAGTCTGTAATACATTTGACATTCGTAATTAGTACAATTTCTAACGCTGAATCGAACGGTGGTATTTTTATCCTTATTGGGCCATTAGGCATTACAAATACACTATGAAACGTACTGCGAGCGATTTGTCAACAAATATAATTTCGTTTGATTTTCAATTCGAAGGCCATAGGCCTAAATCGCTAGAATACTGGTGCTTAGTAAGACATTTGACATCCATAAGTACAATTTCTTACGCTGAATCGAACGGTGGTATTTTTATCCTTATTGCGCCATTTCTAGGCATTACAAATACAAGGACAAACCTGTGGACAAACGTAGTGTAAGTGATTTGTTATCAATAATACGTACTGCGAGCGATTTTTCAACAATACAATTTCGCTTCATTTTCAAAGGCCATAAATCGCTAGAATACGGGTGTTTAGTAATGCACTTGACATCCGTAAGTACAATTTCTTACGCTGAATCGGTGTCGCTTTCTTCTCAAAATATAAAGCAGCGCAGTCAAACGTATAAACTTTTATAAACTTGCGATTTGCGAAGGTTGCTGTTTCCATGCGAAATTCCTTGTAAAATTGTTCAATTTTCCCGAATTTTCCTCAAAATGGAGGGCTATTTATGGATAATTTGGGTAAAATTGGCAGGAGCCTTATGGATAATTGGGGGAAAATTAGGCAGCTCATTAATATACTATTTTGTGGCTATCAACGACTATTGGAGATTGCCGATCCACTAAATGGTGCCGAAACCTATAATCGCCTGGGGCACAGAGTGCCCCAGCGAGTAATTACTAGAACATAATGAGAGATCAAAACAATGCATTTTTATGCCGAAACAGGATAGTTAAACTGTATCTGTTTAGTAGTGTACGTGTTCTTGAAGTATCCACTAAAGAAAAAATACATCTACCGGTATATAACGTTCAGTTAGGGATGGTGCGCAGTTGTCACTAACACTTACGTTTGTCTGAACTTAATTTGATTTGGTATCTCTTCAGGCCTTTTGATTTTATTTATATCTACTGTATTATTGCTGACTTACCGTCAATGCAGTATGTTAACCTCTTGGTGACGATTAACTGAATAATCGGCTTGTATTATTATTTTATTTTACAGACAATATGGAGATGGTGAATAATCCGCCGACTGAGACTGACCCAAAAAGACCAAAAACTGAGTCAAATTACATTCAAAGTCAGATCGACTTGGATAAAAGTAAAGGAAATTTAAAGGTAATCCTATTGTTTACCTGTGACCAGAATGTTGAGATTTTGTAATAATGGTGAGTAATGATGATGGGCACAGGAAAGAACCAACTAAACTGAATGTCCTTGTACGGGGATAGGTTTTCGGATCGTCGGATTCCGCTGAAAAAATTGTTCTGGTTTTGGATCTGGAGAATATTTTACACGGATTTGCTAATTTGCGGATCTTATTAATACAGCGGATTTGCGGATTTATCTAATATTTTGGCTCAGATTGTGTGGATTTTGCTTGCAATTTCGGATCCTGGATTGTGACTTCATAGTAGAGCTTTTAGCGGATCCAAATTTAGGGAAAACCATTGACGGATCGGCGGATTTTGCTTCAAATTTTGCGCGTAGGTACAGTATACCCCTATTCACCCCCCCCCCCCTGTACTCTAACAGGAGAATGGCAACCCACACAGGAGAATGGCAGCACACTTTTCCTGTAAAATAATATAGTTTAGTGTACCACCAATACTGACTGATATTGACATATTAACATCTCTTCTTCTATCCAGGAACAGTTTCCAGCTGGTCAGTTGATCTGGGGAAAATTAAGAGGTTTTGATTGGTGGCCTGGTATGGTTGTTGAACTGAAATGTCAGACGGAGAGCCAGCTTGATGATGTCTGGGTGAAATGGTATGGAGACAACAAGTTCTCTAAGGTACAGTAAAATATCTTATTTTAAAATTATCATTTTCAATATTTTCAAGATTAAAGGTTAAGATGTCCAATACCGTTAAAATACCATGGCACAAAAGAATCAATCTTTTAACGCCGGGTTAATTGTTTCACTTCTAATGTTAATATGTCGTAACCATGCATAAGTTGGAGATCAGTTGGAGACCATAAGTATATGGCCCAGGCTTTTAGCTCAAGACTACTAGAAATGTTTTCTTGTGCTCAATTGTTTGTAATCTAATCCAATTTATTATAGTCATTTATAAAATTGGAAGCTAGGAATTGAAATGAATATTACAGTAAATCAATGTCGGTAAATCGAATACAGATTCTGCTTTGATTAACCGAACAGTTCTCTCAGCTTATCTCTTATGTTAGATAAACATGGAGGACACTCATAATTACAGTATGTCTATATCTGTTTGGTATAGTAATACGATTAAACAATTGCTTGTTTTTTTTCTAAATCCTGAAATTGGTTTTGCTCAAGATTTGCCAAACATTCGAAGATGTAGCATATTACAGCTACCTCCTCCGCAGGCCATACAGCCCGTAATGAGTATGCCCGTTCGCAGGTTAAAATTTGAAATCTGAGACGAAGGCCACCAATTTTCGCCTCCCTATATTTTTGAAAGGCCTGCGGAGGAGGTAGGTATTACAGTATAATTATAAGTCTTATAATAGCAACAGAAAGATAAGCGAATGACATTAAAAATGACAGGAACTTCAATAACCAATTGTATAGTAAAGTCAAATTAATGCAAGCAACAAAACTGCTCTTTGTACACGAAATTTTAGTTCAGATTAAAAATATGTGAAGTTTTTGTTTGATATAAACAGGCATTGGCTTTAAGTATTAGATTAGCATCTTGAAACTCAAGATACGAGTCAAAACAAGACGAGAATGAGATTGGGAAAGTTCGAATTTATTTCAAAATTAACTAAATATAAATATAGAGTTTTTACACAGTACTAGCTAGCTTGTATAAAAGACTTTGTATATTATGTATTGTAAAGAAAGTGTAGAAATTACTTGACGTATGCATGTCAGCTATTGATCCTTGTCAGTAATGACATGTGTTTTTTTTCTTTTGTTTATTATAGCTTCTTAAGAATGAAATAGTTTTATTTCGTCACTTTGGATCAAAATTTTTACATTCAAAATGGAAGGGGGTGTACAAAAGAGCGGTTGTTTCTGCACTAGAGGTAGGTCTGTGAAAGTATGACTGATTTTGTTACTTATTTCTGGGGCAGGACTTTCGTATTGACCTGACGAAACAACCTGTTATGAATCCTTTTCGGGTTGTTTAGACACAAATAGTGATGTACCCATAATTGGGCGATACCAATATTCCATTCTACTTCGAAATTCACAAGTGACAGTTGAACTACTGTAGCTGTAGAAACCTCATCATCATTATGAGGGGAGAGTGACCAATCATGCATTAACACTTATCATACATGCATACGTACATTGATAACATCTCTGATTATGGCTATATATTGAATTGATATTGATACATTCCTGTCACTGAGTTTTGTTACAACCAACCTGGAATCCGAAATATACTTTAAATTTAAAATATGTTGTATAAATTTGTTATAATACAATACCGATAATATCGGCGACAAAAATACCGATAGCGATATTTTGAATTTAAAGCCGATTATCACTAGACACAAACCACGCCAGTTTCTTAAATTCTGCACATGTGATATACCTCATCTATACGCTTGCATTAGGTTGCAGTGTCTCGAAGTAACCATCAGTTCCAAAACAATGCTGACAGCAGTGATAAACCTAGCAGAGACGACCGAGCAAAGTTATTATTGGACTGGGCACTAGATGACTTCAAACCGGGTGGACCTGAAGCGTTTGAAACTATTAAAGGTCGGTATTCACATGTATTAGTCACATTCACTTAGTCATGGTTACTGAGCTCCATATATATCTGTCAGCCCAGTCCCTTTCTATTGTCTTTTGTTTGCGCGGTTAACACGAGTCTGGCAAGGAGTCATTCTCGTCCCCAGAGCCATTTTCACTCGGTCACTCGTTGAAAATTAGGCTCTCGGTTAGATAACCTGAGTATCAGGCTCTATTTTACAAATAGAGCCTGACACAAAACTTAACCTGATCGCTTTCCGCCCACAGCAAAGTTTATATTTAGTATCCAATCAAAATGTCGCAGGAGAAATTTAAATTTCACACAACGACAACAACAATCTAATTATAGCATAGGCGCCCACCAAACGGCTGAATTTAAATTAAACTGCAATGAACTTATAAAATTAACAAAAATAATCACAAATTAGCGAAATATATTGCAAATGTAGCTTATATTAAATCGCCACCCGATTGCTCTCTCCTCCGCAGAGGTTTCAGTGACTACAATATGAGCTTTACATGGCGCTTGCCGTATTTATCAACAAACTGACGTATAATTATAAAGTATACTTTATAACTATACGTCAGTCGATAGTGCAATCTGATGGCGATTTAATATAAAATCAGCGCTCAGTCCAGATTCTGGACTGAACAACCAGGCAAAATGCCACTTTTGTGTCAGGCCGTACTTTTCTCCCCTTCGCCCACGATCAGGCGTGCCTGTGCCCTAAAAAGTACGGCCTGATACTCAGGTTACTAATGAAACGAATGTTGTATTTCTGACAAATGTGTGACATCTTTATTAAAACGAACCACAGCGTATGAAAAAATACGGCACAGTAATCCCACAATCCAACGGCTTACTACTCTCAGAAATTCCAAAATGAAGTACGTAGGCTGGTCGCAGCAAAACTAAGAGAAAATTCAGGATCCTGTAATTCATCGGAAAACAATCATCAACAAGAAAGCCAACCTCGCAAGCCTACAGCCCAGCGTAGGTATAGAAGACCCTGGCTTGCAAGGTTGCAAGAAAGCACGTACCATACAACGGCATATCTCCCTCCTGATTTTTTTTCTGTGTTGGGTTATGTCTCAGGTGAATATGATGCTTGTGATGTTACTCTGAGTGTAAAATCATGATTACTAGATTGCATTGATATTGAAGGAACTAGATTCTGTTCCGAAATATCAAATACTCAAACCGACCTGACCGCGTAGCTCAGTTGGCAGAGCATTGGGCTAGTATTCCAAAGGTCGTAGGTTCGATTCCCACCGTGGCCAGGCATATTTTTCAAGCTTGCCCGGTGTGGATATACACTCAGAGTAACATCACAAGCAACGTATCTCCCTCCTGTACGCCTATGAAGGCAGAGGTTGCTAGTGGACTGAATACCCCATAAAATGGTACAGTAACAATGTCACGCTGATATTACTGACGCATGCATGGTTATGATGTGAGGTGGAATAAATCTTTAAACTAAACCGACATGTTTCAACAATAGACAAATCGGGCTGTTAAACGTTGTTTCCATCATTGCTACACAATTCCCAATTAGACAAGACCACAATACGGCTGCTCAGACGTCCACTTCGGCATGTAGCAACACCTGACATGAATGGAATGGATTGTTGCCGAACTGGATGGGTATATATTAAAAGCTGGGTATATGGGGCATAATATTCAATAGTATTGAATAAATGGGGCATAATCTTTGGTTTTGTCCGGCAGGTTGTCGTAAAATGGTGTGTCATGTGTGCGCCATTGAAATGAATATAACTGAGACGCTACCTTCAGATGAACTGCCTATCTTTTTATTGAAGCCAAATCTGACACGCGTGTTTATGCAAGTGAACTCAATCTATTTACCTGGAACAATAACATTCAGTCATTTGACAGTTAAAAAATGAAGCCTCGCGTGAGCAGTGCCGTCAGCTCTCCAAGTACGTCAGTTTCAGTCCCTTTATACGCCATCACTGCGCGGTCAATTGCCACGCCATATAGTACGTCAGTTTCAGTCCCCTTATACGCCATCACCGCGCGGTCTATCACGAATCACGCGCGTCAAGTGACGTTGGCCTTGGCTTCACGTTTCTCCCTGTTATCGTTCCAGATAAAAGATATATGGAGTTCACTGGTTTATGCATAATGATTGACTGATTGAGCGCTCTTCGCACGCGTGAAAAGACTGGGACTGGCCTTCAAATTTGGCTTCAAATTTCCGGTTGGAGGTAACGTTCCATGCAGTTATATTCATTTCAATGGTGTGCGCACAAACCGAGGTACAAGGATACAGTGACGCAGAGTATTCTGGGTGTAAATTCAATTTCTCGACAAAAAATAATAATACAAAAAACACAGAAACTTAGGGAAACCTATACTTCCTCTATACGTACTAGGTAGCCGAAGTAAGAACTCACACGCAATCTCACATGCCTAGGTGCGTACAACTGTTCTAGTTTACAGAAGCATTGGAACAAAGTAGATTATTTATAAGAGTTACTCGTGTAGATAATTAAAGCTTAGTCACCTTGTTCTGTTCTCTGCTTCAGATTTCTCAGTAAATTAAAACATGGTAGATAGGCATGTGAGTGTTGTAAAGTTGTGAGCTGGGGTATAACTATACCTATGGGTATAACTGATTAAACTTTAGCCAGATTTATCTATATCGGCCATGGAATAGTAATTTCTAAGTACATTAATTTCTTACAGTGACAATTTTACAGCGGTTCATTCAAATAAAACGACAATAGATTTCGCTTCATGTTATTTTACAGAGGCGATGTCTTCGCAGGTTATCTCAGATCATCGTTTCTAGCGATTGCTAAAAAAAACCTTGCCTCTCCTCTAGATCAGATCCAACCTCGCAAATCACGCTTTTTTATCATCGAGCGTGTATTCGGGCAGGGGCAAAAGTAAAGAGTCAAAAGTCAATCTCGTACCCAGGAACGTTTAGCTTCGAAAAGGTTGCGAGGTTGAATAAAATCATGCAATGCATATGAGTAAATTCTTAAACACGTCCGAATTTATCATTATGATAAATTCGCGGCAAATTTTGAATTTATAATAATAATAAATTCGCGGCACCTAACACTAACCCCAACCTAACCCCTAACCCTAATTTTTTTAACTTTTTAAATTTTTTTAAAACCTAACTTTTTAAGCTTTTCTTGCTTTTTAAAACTCTTTTAAAACGTTTTTAAAAACTATTTTTTTTAAAAACTTGGGAAACTCCCCACCCCTTCGCGGCCGGCCTCCCTTTTGGTGCCATTACATTTATAACAAGAAAACTTGTGCAGTGATTGTGGTTTTATGATTAACTCTATTGATAAATTCAATATGTGCCGCGAATTTATCATAATGATAAATTCGGACGTGTTTAAGAATTTACTCATATAGTAAATTCAAAGGTGGAGCTCATGTTGAATAAAATCGGCTACGTTTACACTAAACTCGATAGCTTTCCGTAGCGGCGCGATAAAGCAGCTATCCATTTACGAACTGGACAAGTTTCAGAAGCTGAGCGAAGCAACATCTCAACGTTGCAATAACTCTGAAAATAGCGTTCTAAGGCTAAAAGGTATGGATAGGTGTTTTTTCACATCGCTACGGAAAGCTATTCGGTACAGTAACGTAAACTATATATCTGTGCAATCATTCACCAACAGAAGCACTGACAATAGACCCCCTCAAAAAACCATATAATTTTCATCAAAATAAAATACTATCGCAGTACAGTACTGCAGTATAGATATAAATAATTTACAACTTCATTTTTATAAATTAAGATGTGTAGTAGTGTAAATCGGGCTAAAATCGTACACTAACTAATTTTGCAAGCAGGATGAATAAAAATTAAGTTTGTGTAATATAAAGAATTCTTTTAAAAGTAGAAGGTTGAACAGTGGTCAATGCCATGCTTTGAAATATATTTTTGAATTTTGTTTTGGATGTAACCGTATGGACATAAAATGTCGATACCAATATCTTTTCAGGAAAGGTAATCAACAGTGGCGAAACTACCATGCTAACCATAGCAACTGGTCATGCTATGCAAATCTTAAAATATTTTTATTTTCAACCTCTAGAAATCCATTGTCTTTAAACTAATTTGGTACAGGTTTATTAGCATAGCAGGACTAGTTGCTTTGCTAGCTTCGCTACTGGTAATCAACTCGAGGCACCAAACTCAGACAAAAACACTGTCCCGATTAACAATAAGCTAAGGTAAGGACCTGGGGCCGGTTGTATAAAACTCTTAATCACTTTTTTAATCACTATTTTGTAGTTAAATAGTGATTAACTCTCAAATAGGCGCTACTTATTGGATGACGTTTGCACTTAACCATAGTTAACTTTAATCACTTTTTTATACAACCGGTCCCTGCAAAAGAAATGGGAGAAATGATCGGTGGAAATGAAAAGAACGGGAACGGGGAATTAAACGAACCATGTTATCATTGCTCTAAAAATTGCCCCCAATTACACAAACTTAATCTTCATTCCTGCCATCAAAAGTCAAATTATTCGTCAGTTCCATACAATGTTACACTCCAGTTGAGGAGATAACCAGCAGGAGTCTTCTTTCGGGATGATAGATCATTTTCATTGAAGTCGTCGCCAGTAAATTCCCACGGATTTCGTTTTTCGTTTTCGTCAACAGGTATTTCATCTCTCATGTAATCTTCCTTGTATCTCCCATGGTGTACCTCGTCATGCATGAAGTCGTACGCTCCCGGGATAAAATCTCTTGCTCGGTTGGCTTTTCTTTCATCTAATATCTTCCGGTAACGATCTTCATTATCTTGTGAAGGGTTTTGAAATGAATTTTGGCCTTGATCTCGTACATAGAGGGTCCATTCTCCAACCGGATTTTCACCCCATAAATGAACAGTCATAAATGACCAGTCTTTGAGGCCTTTATCGGAAGCATCAAATTTCCTTGGGGCAAGTAGGTTGCTGGTTGTACCACTGGGAGAGACTACTGTAATATTGAGATCACCTCGGCGACGATGACGTAATGTGACAGTGATATCAACATGC